ATACATACATGGCAAGTATAATTGGACAAATTTGAACAACTATAAAACACAACTGATCTCAACCGTGCAATCTTTCGAGCTTCAACAACAAACACAGCTCCAAATACTAGAAAATATCCCACTTATCTTTTCACTCAAAACTCATCCCTCTCTCAGAACCCAAATCCCCAAATTTCTCAAATTACGGTTTCAATTATCTAGTCCAGCTATACATACATGGCAAGTATAATTGGACAAATTTGAACAACTATAAAACACAACTGATCTCAACCGTGCAATCTTTCGAGCTTCAACAACAAACACAGCTCCAAATACTAGAAAATATCCCACTTATCTTTTCACTCAAAACTCATCCCTCTCTCAGAACCCAAATCCCCAAATTTCTCAAATTACGGTTTCAATTATCTAGTCCAGCTCTAATGTCGGACCACGACAGGGCGACAAGAGGCTACGGGGGCAAAACCAATTGCCGCTGTGAAGTCCTTTGTGAAAACATCAAGGACTTCACAAAGCCAGGGATCTGGACTGAAAGTTTAATTATCCACCAGCGCTTCGAGTGTGTACCCGTACATGAAACATGTCGGACGTGGGTACATGAGCCTATACAACGTGTCGGGCTAACCTAGATCGTACGCTTACACATGATAGCTTGATAACAAATCACGAAAAAAACACAAAATTATGCTTTCTTCTCAATATATGTGGACCAAAATTCATCAAGTTATGTTGACAATGTGTGAGAAAACCGTCTCTTCTCTTTCCGAATTAAATAGACGGTCATCGCTACTATCAAGACTGGTATTATAGATATTATCTAATTATTCCAAAGTCTAACGCCTAGTTTGTTAATGCAGGAGTCCAATGTAACGAAATGCTCATTCTTACTTCCCATTAATGTGTATCAAACATAATATGTTTTTGAAAGTTTGAAAGCTCATTCCCTAGGAATCCTCCTCCCACAGGATTGAGCATTCTCAAATAATTGTTAAGATATGAGAATTCCCATTTACGTGATAATCAAAAAAATAAAAATTGTATGTCGACCATCGCCAACTATGACGACCACCGCCAACGACGACCGCCGGTGACATCAACCATTGTTAGCAATGTCGGTGTTCACAATTTTTTTTAATATTTACTGTTCTATTCCTTAATAGTAGCATCTAAATAGGAGAACGGGAACGAGCATTCTATTTTCTCAGAAGTAGTCCATTTTTTTGTAACCCGCTTCATTCCCTAATAGCACCCAAATAAGAAACTAAGAATGAGCATTCCATTCTCACAATCATTCATTTTTTTCATTTCCTGCTTCATTTTCAAATAGCACCCAAACGAGAAAATGAGAATGAACATTCCATTCTCAATTAATTCAATTCCTATGTGACGTGCCAAAGGAGGAGTAAGATCGTAATATCTAACTACACCTAAAGATTTATGAAGAGATAAACTTTAAAAAAAACCTAGGAGAAAAGGTTTTGAAACTAATGCATGACCTACAAGAAATCTGCACTATGTTTTTTTATGGCCGTATACACTGGCTAAAAAAACAATAGATTGATATTTTATTTGAAAAGGTTTAGGTGCTAAATTTATTCTTCTTTGAATTTAACAAAATCGCAACAAGGTGGAAGATATTGTTGATGAATACACCTACCTCGTTGGAGACCAGCAACGAAGGGGCTTCCTGGCTTTCCTTCATAGAACTTCCTCATACTATAAAAATATCAAATCTTGGCATTCCATCAATTCTCAGCTAGAAGAAGTGAACACTAGGATCATCAACCTTGCATCTCAAAAAGAACGATATGGTATTGAAGATGAATCAACTAGTTCACAAGCTCCTGAAACATATCGGCATCATCAAGATTACTCATCTTACTTTCTCGATGAAGAAGAAATTGTGGGCTTTAAGAAGTACAGGGATCTTTTGATCGGATGGCTAACTGAAGAGAAGCCACAGAGGACTATAATCTCGGTATGGGGGATGGGTGGCCTTGGAAAGACTACCCTAGCCATGGATATCTACAAAAGTCGAGAAGTAAGGCGGCACTTCAAGTGCAAGGCCTGGGTGGTCATCTCCAGCATGTACAAAACAGTTGATCTACTAAGAAAGATTGTGAAAGAACTCTTTGAGGAAAACGATGAGATGCTCCCTCAGAACATTGACGGCATGTCCATCAAAAGATTGATTGAGACAATTCGCAATTTTCTGCTAGGCGAGAGGTACCTTATTGTTTTAGATGATGTTTGGGATGCCAACGCTTGGTTCGACATTGATACAGCATTGCTGGATTCTAAATGTGGAAGTAGAGTCATTCTAACAACTCGAATCCACAACGTAGCTATGTTAGCACTTGAGACTCGTGTTCTAGAGCTGGTCCCCTTATCTGAGAGTGACTCGTGGCTTCTCTTCTGTAAGAAAGCATTCTGGAAGGATGGAGACAGAATTTGCCCACAAGAGGTGGAGTACTGGGCTAGAAAGATCACAGAACGATGCCGAGGCTTGCCGCTAGCCATCGTGACAATAGGAAGGGTTGTATCAACAAGGGAGCAGAAGGAAGTAGAATGGAGGAAAGTGTATGAAGGTCTCAAGTGGGAGATGATACAGGACAGTATGTCTGCTATGGTGAGAAATGTTTTGAGCTACAGCTTTAAGGACCTCCCACATTATATGAAAAATTGCTTTCTATATTGTAGCATTTTCCCAGAGGATCATCCTATAAAGAGAAAGAGGCTAATCCGATTGTGGGTTGCTGAAGGTTTAATCAGGAAAGTTTCGGAGAGGACAATGGAGGTGGAGGCAGAAGTCTACCTTGATGAGCTTGTCCATCGGTGCTTGCTTCAGGTTTCAAAGAGGAATTACTTTGGGCGCGTGAAGCTCTGCAGAATGCATGATGTAATCCGTGAGCTAACTCTTTCAATTTGTCAAAGAGCAAACTTCTGCAGAGTATACGTCAACGAAGAGGATGACTCAATTGGTGAAGCGCGCCGCCTATCAGTGCAAAAGGGCAGTGGTAATCTTCAATCAGGAAATGTATCCTGCACTCGTTCATTCTTCCTCTTCGACACGAAAAAAATGTCCTTATTGAATTCTGTATCAACTAGCTTTCGACTATTGAGGGTCTTGGATCTAGAAGGTGTTCCTATTGAGTCGATACCTAAAGAAGTCACAGGTTTATTCAATCTGCATTACTTAGGCTTGAGGAAAACTCAAGTTAGAGATCTCCCTAAAGGCATGGGAAGGCTTCAGAACTTAGAAACTCTAGATCTCTACGACAGCAGCATTGAGAGATTGCCTCATGGAGTGACGAAGCTGAAGAAGCTTAGACACCTATTTGTGGAAAAAATTCGTGATCAAACATATGCTGAAATTGGCAGCGATCCCGGTGTCAAGTCGCCAAAAGGTATATGGAATCTGACTAGCCTCCAGACTTTGCAGTCGACACAGGCAGATGAAGAGATTGTCCGAAACATGCGGGGCATGGTACAGCTCAGAACCTTGAGGATAACCAAAGTGAGAGCCAAACACTGCGGGGACTTATGTTATTCTTTATTAAATATGAGTCACCTAGAGAACTTGGACATTGCCGCAAGTAATGAAACGGAGGCACTACAGTTGGAAGAGTTGGAAGCAATTGCATGCCGTATGCAGAAGCTAGAGCTAAGAGCTCCATTGGAGAATGGTGTGGTTCCGAAATGGTTCAAATCTCTCACGAATCTAAGGCATTTGGGCCTCTCTTGGTCAGGACTGCACGAAGATCCACTTGCTTCCCTTGCTTCACTGCCTTACTTGGCTGTTTTAGGCCTCTACAAGGCCTATGACGGGCAAAACCTCTGCTTCAAAGCTGGGGGATTCAAGAAACTGAACATGCTGATGTTGGGGGGTTCGACAAATCTTGATTCGGTGATCATTGAGGAAGGGGCGATGCCGGGGCTGAGAGAGCTGTGCTTGCTGAGGTGCAGTGGGATGAGGCTGTTGCCCACGGGAATTGAGCACCTTAAAGCACTTCAAGAAATGTACCTGCTAGAGATGCCGGAGGAGTTTATCGAAAAATTTCACAGAGGAAGCAGTGACAACGAGGATGAGGATGTCCTACAGAAGGTTAAACATATTCATACTATCAAGCATGTTTTCCAGAGAGACAGCAGATGGGTATCAGAAATTCTTTCCAGATGAAACGTATAATACAGAGACATCGTACCATGCGAACATGCTGTATAGCACAAATTAGAGCTCGCAAAGTTCAGCGAGTCTTGGCCTTCATACTATATGTTGGTATTAGTACCTAGCATTGGGCATACATTTTTATCTGTCCCTTTAATCTTGGCGTTATTGTACTAATCCCTTCAATTATCTACAATTGCATACATCTAGATACTTCTGACTTTTGATAGAATCACCACCACACTTACGTATGAATAGCATGATTGAGAGCTAATTTTCAAAAGAGAAGAAAAAGAAAAGTATGCTTTTAATTTACCAGCTTCCGATTTTACATGAAGGACAAATTTTCAAAAACGATCTCTTTTCACATTTAATTCCATAAAAAGACTCATTTCCACAATATTTTCAAAAACCAACCTGGTTTCAGCCTTGGCGCTGAAATAAGGTCGGTTTTTGTGAAAAAACTTCCGAAACTTCATGGGAGTTCAACGCCCGTGAACTTTCATAGTTCAAAAAAAGTACCAACCTGGTTTCAGCAACAAGGTTGAAACCAGGTTGGTTTTTGAAAATATTACGGAAATGGGTCTGTTTTTGGGATTAAATATCCATATGGGACGGTTTTAAAAATTTGTCCTTACAAGAATCATCTCCCTTTTTCAAATCACAATCAACATAACTTTGAGCGTCATGAGCCACATAAAACTTAAACCATAAGGATATAAATTGTCTCCACCTAATCATGTGTACGTAGTATAAATTCCAACCAACACAACACCGGAAATTACAGGGTGTCCCACCCGGTTTATTTTTTCCAAATAAATTTTTTGTTCTTACTTAAATCTTGTATTTTTACATCAGTTTCAACTGTCATAACGCAGAACTATATTTGAAATTGTGCCAAAAATGGATCAAGTATCCTTGATCTTCTAGAAACGTAGAACTTTTAAAATGCTATGTTTCCCGATGGAATATGTTCTGAGATACAAAACCCTCCAGATTAATTTTGAAGATTAGTCTGACTAGTAACTCGGTATTTGCAAATGGACAGTAACCCTCTGTTAAGGCTATAGGCAAACTTATACAGAAGTTTTATGCTCGCTGGCAACTAAGATTTCTTCAGGTATGAAGACCCGGAGCCACCTGTTTTTAGCCTCCGCTAAGTCCTGTAGCAATACAAATACGAGCCTCATGAGTCAAAACTTAATCTTTTCAACTAAGCAACAGTTGCATTAGTGTAGAGCTTCATGACTTAAGACTGCACATAAAATTCATTACTTCTCTTGTTTTGCAAGCAAAAGGTGCGGTAAAAAGGAATATAATAATATAAAATCCAATTTAAAGAGTTAGAAAATGCAGGGCTGATCGGGAGCAGTCGTGATGTCACTGCCCTAGAAGATTAAGGACTCGCCTATCGCCCTGGCGCAATTTGTCCCCTCTCCCCTAGCGGTAAAAACCCCCGGAATCGGCCGGCCTCTGCACTCGGGCGTGAGTCACAGAGCTTATGCTCAGACGAAAAACGGTTGCCCAAAAAATAAATATAAATATGTAGCCGAAATTTCTTGGAGGAATAAGAGTAGAGAAAGAAGAGAGCTTAGAAGATGTTCTTCTCTTCGTTGGTGTACTTCTGAATGAGCTCCAAGCCTGTTTATATAGGTGAGGAGAAGTGTAACCCCCGCTGAATCCAAGGGACCGTTACGCACAAATCTTGCTTCCGTTACCCGCATGCAGCCGTTACAGAACGTGTAAAACGTGCAAAAATAAAAGCTTGAGAAGCAAAAATGTGTGCGTGTGCGGTGCGGCGTGGCGCGCGCGTGCGAGGCGTGGCTAGGCGTGGCGTGACGTGCGCGCGCGCGCGCGTGGTAGATATGCAAAGCCCACAAAACCCAAAACACTATTCAAAGCCCAATAAGGAGAAAACCATTATATATCCTTTACTATTCATCTTATTTTCCAATGTGGGACTATTCACAAAGGCAAAATTGCATTTTCATGAACAAAGCATCCAACAGTCCCCCCCAAAAGGCAATATTGACTGAAAATTCAAAATAATAAATAAATCATAAAATAAATATAGGTTGGGCAACCTTTCGTATCGTGAATTCGGGAGAGGTAGCTTTCGGCTTTGAACCTTTCCTTAGTAAGTTCATCGCCACCTGAGGGACATAATGGACTAGGCCTTGAATTAGGCCTCTTCGATCAGGTATTGATAAAAACACACATAATATGTTTTCATCTATTGAGCTAAGCGGGTTGAGCGTTAAAGGCCATGCTCACAAAAAATCGACTCATGAGAGTTTCTAGGGGTCAGCCCTGCCCCCCCAACCGCGGCCATCACGGTTCCTCTCACGTAGGTAAGTCCTCAAAGGGTACTACAGCTGTTTATTTAATACCCCCACAATACACGCGTTGGACTTATTAAGAGTAAAACTCAGCCTAGCCAGCTGTATCATAAGAGCATCGTCATCATAGAGAAGGGGTTGTAGCAAATGCTACATAATGATATATAAATATATCTAGGTCGATGCTCCACACGAGAGTCACTTGTCCAGCTTGTTTCTACCACATTGAACCGACATTGGGACTACGTCTCCAAATAAGGGTTGGGTTGTCGCTGTCAGTGACCTCATTTATGGCCTTAACCCCATCTCCCTCGATGAATCCAGAACCACACTCCTGGATAATCCCTTAGTCAAAGGGTCAGCAAGATTTTTCTCAGACTTTACAAAGTCCAAGATCACAACTTTGCCTATCAGGTATTGATAAAAACACACATAATATGTTTTCATCTATTGAGCTAAGCGGGTTGAGCGTTAAAGGCCATGCTCACAAAAAATCGACTCATGAGAGTTTCTAGGGGTCAGCCCTGCCCCCCCAACCGCGGCCATCACGGTTCCTCTCACGTAGGTAAGTCCTCAAAGGGTACTACAGCTGTTTATTTAATACCCCCCACAATACACGCGTTGGACTTATTAAGAGTAAAACTCAGCCTAGCCAGCTGTATCATAAGAGCATCGTCATCATAGAGAAGGGGTTGTAGCAAATGCTACATAATGATATATAAATATATCTAGGTCGATGCTCCACACGAGAGTCACTTGTCCAGCTTGTTTCTACCACATTGAACCGACATTGGGACTACGTCTCCAAATAAGGGTTGGGTTGTCGCTGTCAGTGACCTCATTTATGGGCTTAACCCCATCTCCCTCGATGAATCCAGAACCACACTCCTGGATAATCCCTTAGTCAAAGGGTCAGCAAGATTTTTCTCAGACTTTACAAAGTCCAAGATCACAACTTTGCCTAACAGGTATTGTACAAACTTATATCTTATTTGAATATGTCCGTTATGTTTTTTATTTACATGTACCTGCTTTAGAAGCTCTATGGTAGATCTAGAATCAGAGTGAATGGAAATATGAGGAGAGGGTTTAGGGACCAAAGGAAGTTCAGAGAGAAGATATTTTAACCATTCGGCTTCTGTGCAAGTAGTATCAAGAGCAATCAGCTTAGATTCCATGGTGCTCCTGGCAATTACTGTTTGCTTACATGATTTCCAGAATACAGCAGCACCACCAAAAAGAAATACATATCCAGATGTAGACTTTATACTGTTGGAATCCGTGACCCAGTTGGCGTCACTATACCCTTCTATAGCATCAGGGTAACCAGTGTAAGTCAAACAATAGTCAACTGTGCCTTTCAGATATTTGAATACTCTTTCTAAGGCAGTCCAATAATCTTTGTTAGGGTTGCTAGTATACCGACTCAGTCTCCCTACAGCATAAGCTATATCGGGTCTGGTTCGGTTGGATATGTAAAGAAGAGATCCAATCATCTGAGAATATTTTAGCTGGGAGACAGGTTCACCTTCATTCTTCTTCAAGGATATAGAAGAATCATAAGGTGTGGAAACAGGTTTAGAGTTATGAAAGTTGAATTTGATTAGCATTTTATCAATGCTATGGGAAAGACTCAAAGATATTCCTCTAGTGTGTCTAGAGATTTTCATTCCAAGTATCATGTCTGCAAGACCTAAGTCTTTCATATCAAAGTTTTTGGAAAGATAATCCTTAACCTTTGAAATTAATTCAAGTGTTGTTCCAAAGATAAGGATATCATCAACATAGAGACAGAGAATGACATAGTCATTGTTTATCACTTTAGAATAGACACATTTATCGTATTCATTCACAGTGAAGCCATATTGTGCAATGACGTTGTCAAATTTCTGGTGCCATTGTTTTGGAGCTTGTTTAAGACCATACAAAGATTTAACAAGCTTACAGACTTTGTTTTCCTGACCCTTGGCAATGAGGCCTTCAGGTTGGTGCATATAGATTTCTTCATCTAAATCACCATTCAGGAAAGCAGTCTTGACATCCATCTGATGTATGATAAGCTTATGGATAGCAGCAAAGGCTAGTAATACTCGGATAGTTGATATTCGGGCTACAGGAGAATATGTATCAAAATAATCAATGCCCTTTTGTTGAGTAAAGCCTTTAGCTACTAATCTAGCTTTAAATTTATCTATGGAACCATCAGCTCTGAGTTTCTTCTTGAATATCCACTTACAACCAATAGGTTTACAACCTGGAGGTAAGTCGGTGAGTATCCAAGTATGGTTTTCCATGATAGATTTAATTTCATTATCAATGGCTTCTTTCCAGAAAGGAGATTCAGGTGAATCCATTGCTTCTTGGAATGAGCTTGGATCACCTTCAACAAGAAAGGTAAGGAAGTCTTCTCCAAAATTCTTTTCGATTCTACCTCTTTTGCTTCTTCGAGGTTCAATATCAAGAGGTTGAAAAGAACTGGAAGATGGAAGATCAGAAGGAATGGATGATCTGGGATTTTCTGAGATTTTAGATTTGAAAGGAAAGATGTTTTCAAAGTAGACTGCATCTCTTGCTTCAATGATGGTATTGTTGGATATGTCACTGATTTCAGATTTGATGACTAAAAATCTGTTAACATTGCTATCTAATGCATATCTAATAAAAGCAGCATCTACAGTCTTAGAACCAATTTTTCTCTTCTTAGGTTCGGGAATAGCTACTTTAGCCAAGCAACCCCAAACCCGAAAGAATTCAGATTAGGAGATCTCCCCTTCCAATATTCATAAGG